ATGGTCTGATAAAGAGTACATTTAAAATAATATTTAGGCCAGAATGATTTGAAATTTAAATATGACTTCCCAGTTTTTAAATGATTTTCATTAAATGAAGCCAGCTGGGCTTCTGCCTTACAGCATCACTTATAAATGATAGAGCTGGGCCTGTTTTACAGTGCTTAGTCCTTTATCTCTCCTAGACATACATATGTAAGCTCAGCTTTCATTGTAACTCTCTTTCATACTTTTTGACAAGAAAAAGGCTTATAACTCGATTGCTTAACTGTTTCCTCCTCAGCCAGCCACCTGTGGAACTACTTTGCCTTCTCTATCATAGAAAACATTTTAAAATCAACCCTTAGCTCACTTTGGGGCATCTTCTGCTAAAATTCTTCCTGCTAAAATTAAGATTTTCCTCTCCTCTGTCATTTCATGCATTCTCATTGAAAGCTTCCTGCTAAAATTAAGATTTTCCTCTCCTCTGTCATTTCATGCATTCTCATTGAAAGCGGATCTACGTGTTTATCCAAAAGGAGTGAATCCTTCAAAGGCACACTACAAAAACAATCAAGAAATAAGTAAAAATGTCTAAAATTAAGTGTATTTAGCCTTAATTTCAGTAGGTAAATGAGATAATTTGCCAATGGAATGAGCATTTTTACTCTTAAAATAAGATAATTAGATAATATGCACTGAAAATAAGACAATGCAATTGTTTTTTCTTATTTTAAATGTAAATTGTCTTGTTTGATTGGCATTTACCTCCTCATTTCAAGAGAAAAAGCAATTACTTTAAGAAAAAATGACTAATTGAGTTTTTACATTTTTTGCAGCGCAGTGACTGGAGGCAGGCAGCTGGTTTTCCTTAGATAGAAAACTTTTATCCAATCTGAATGAATGATCTGAGTGAATCATCTCTGAAAAGTGAGATGACCTGTTTTCACAGTGCCACATCTCTGGGTCTTTTACTCCAGTTACCTTGGGTGTAGAATTTACTGCACTCAGTGATTTTCACAGTTTGGAAGATAGTGAGTTTCTAAACCTTAAAAACATAAAACCCATCACACCGATGATAATTTTTTGGCCTACTTCCAGCAATCCCCCATTATTTTTCTTGGAAATTAAAACAAACCCCAACTGTGTACAGCCTTGTAAATTATTCAGGCGGGAATGATGAACTGCCAAGTTTGTCCTGAAGGAGGGTTTTAGCTACTTTGTGTGCGGCTGAGGATTTACGGCTGCTGCCAGCAGGAAAAGACAGATGTTCATCTCGTGTTTTTGCACCAAGCTCTCTAGACGAATGGACGGGCCAAAGAACGAAAACACAGACAAATAGCACAACATTTCTGTTTTGTTTCTGGGATATTTCTGCTGTTCTCTCTTTTATCATATGGATGTAAAACATGTACTCTGACACAGTGGTGGGTTTAAGAAATTGGGGTCCAAGACAACAACAGGTACTAAAGAAGACAATGAACATGGAATATTTGCTTTGCATTATTTTCCTTTCCCTTTTGCATCTGTTTTTAAATGTTTTAAATCTAAGTGAATAGGGACAAATATTACAGGCATATATTTCTTTTTGCTCTTCTTCATTCTTAACTTCTTTTTCATTTTATATTTAATGTTTTCATTTAAAAAACCACCCCAAGAAAATATTAGTGAAGGAAAAATAACAATTCATCATATTTCTATTCAAGTAAGATTTACAGTAATTAGAATAGAATAGAAAAACCCTTTATTGTTTCACAATGGAGAAATTCTGGTGTGCACAAAGTATACTTAGTTTCTAACAACATTTTATCTGCATTGTAAAGATATGTGCAAATTCTGGTATTTTAAAGACTGTAATAAAATAGTTA